AAAAAAAAAACCATGTTATAAATACCTCTTATTTTTTAATAAATCCTACGCCAGGTGACTTTGTTCTTCCATGGAAAACTGTATCGTGGCAATCGAGCCTTGAAGGTTGATGCACGCAGATTTGGTGCCTTTGACACTCCAAACTGTCCTCCTTTGGCAACAGTAGAAGCTGGTATTGAAAGTAAGTGGTAATGTTGTTCAAGCTTTGGATGACTTGTCCAAATGTGGTTCTTTTAAGAAGATACAGGACAGGGTTCAATCTGCTAAAAATATATGAAAATCATATATTTGAACTGCGGTTAAAGAAACACATATGAGAAGGATCTCAGTGAGGGGCACTATTTAAGCAAGAGTGAAATTAAGACCTGAAAAAAATTCAGGCCTGTACGGGATTTGAACCCATGACCTTTGCGATGCTGTTTCCTTTTTTTACTCATTTTTATTCAGTTATGTGATTCAAGAAAAATCCATTACTTCATTCGTGACTTCCGCATTAAATTGTACATGAAAACCGATATCGCACTCATTGCTTCGCGATTCGAGCAATATTGGTTTTCGTGTGCAATTTAATGCGGAATTCTCTCATCAAGTAATGAATTTTCCTATAAAACTTACAGTGGATAGCATTGACGGTATGCTCTGATTGGCTACTCAAATTAGACTCCAAATATCCTCTGCTATTTACCTCAGAGTACTGATTCACCCAATATTTGTGCCCAAAAAGATAAATTGAAATCATCTTTCATATGCCATATTACCTGACTGTTTTATTATGTATGTACTAAAACAAGTATTCGCCTCAGTTTTGAAGGCTGGCAGTGGATATTTACTAAGCTGCTGCTAACCCTTAATTAACTTCCAGAAGTTATTAGCATTTAACTTCTCCTTATAATATCCATACATGATCGAGCAAACAGGTAGTGAGAATACTCAAACTTATCAGGTAGAAGTTGTTATGTTGATTGAACACCAAATTCTTGTAACTAATGTACAAGGAAATGTATAGCAGCTAGAGGGGAGAATTAACAATCAGATCTTGGGTGTCAAGAGGTTAAATAGGGGTCAAAGGTTTAAGAATTTTCATCATAGACTCTTTCTTTTCTTATTTTAATTCAACGCAACAAAATGAAAATGTCATTTTTATCTCAAGAGCTTATTTGCTTTATTTCTGTTTGTCTTTTTTTTTTCCAGTTGAGTGGGAGGAGCTCTTTTATGAAAATCAAGCAAGTAAATTTCAAATCCACACAAAGATGAGTTCAAGAATAGGAGTGCTGAGAATTTTCCCTGGAATTACGCAAGAAGCAGTTAGTATTACCCTTTCAACCCTGAAGAGAGACTGACTTCTAATTTCTCCTTACAATATCACACTTAAATCAAGTATCATTTCCTTTATTTTCCTGACCTTTATACACCGAATGCAAATATGGCCTTCACATTCAATAAGATGCAAGCCTGCTAAGCTTGCAGTCAATTGGATGTGTGATGCAAACAAAGACGACCCGGCGCAAAAACTGAGCTTCAAAGCTACTCATTCTTCCGTCTCACAGTCTTCTCGCGCAACACTTTAAGGCCAACAAGATGCAAATAAACCATTGGGTATTCTTTTGTATTATGAATACACGAACGAACTCCCTCAACCTCGTTCCCAGGACCTTTTCGCTTAGTCGGGGGTGGGGTAGGAAAAGGCCCTGGGAACGAGGTTGGAAATCTCTACAACTACTTTTAATTTCTAACTGAAAAAATTCTCCATTTATTTCCTGATTCGAGTAGATAACAGTAACTGAAAGATGTATTTGTCTCCACGTCAGGTTTTGGTGGAAGCTGGTGTAATCTCAGGAAATGATATGACGGTTGAGGCAGCGCTAACCAAACTCTCCTATGTACTTGGACATGATGAGCTCTCGCTGGAAGAGAAAAAAGAGGTGACAATTTCATTTTGTTATTTTATTGTCATCATTTTCTAGCAAAGGGAGGTATTGTGATATAAAAGGTGGATCAATTAAAGTTTCTGCAGAATCAATTTACTTAGTATTTTTGCTAGGTTTTGGTCAGTCTCAGAGGAACCTTGACAACTGAACTGAAGGTTGTGAGAATGTGTTAGAGATAAGAGTCCTGTTTGGAACATGTGGGTTGGGGTGGGGGAGGGGGTTGAGTGAGTGGGGAAGTAGGGGGAGGGAGGGTGGAATAATTCTCCCACCACAGTAAAGGAGGAGGATTGCTTCTTCAGTTTGGTCATGTTGAAAAAAGAAAAGGAAAAAAACAAAAATTCAGTAATGAAGTAGCCTTACTATGTGAGAAAAAAAGCTAGAACCTTAAACTTTTTTTTTAATGAAAAGTGACCTGTACTGTTCACTGTATGACTTTAGATGATGAAAAAGAATCTACGTGGAGAGTTGACACTGTACAAAAACGAAAAGATGGAACAGTTTTCTTTCCGGGACAATGAACTGATCGATGCAGTAGCTTCACATTTCAAAGTTGGTTCAACCGAGGTTAGCAAAGTTTATCTTAAATTAGCCTCAGTTAGAAGCTTGCTACCGCGCCTTTCTTTTTTACCCGTATTTTTTTTAATGGTATTTCCGAATGATTTGACGGGATTCCGAAAGTTGCTGTGAATGCGTTCCTTTGCTAAGTAACGATTGTTTTTGTAGCAAGGATGTTATAATTAAGTATTTTGTTCCACATAATACTGGACTTGAACGACGGATGATGAAATGCTTTGGCGACTTAAACCGTTTTCTCTCGAGCTTCTTAGACACTGATTGTTCACCCATCATATCGTAATAATTCATTTCCTTACTCTTTTCCGTACCTAATATCAAGAAAGTTTACAAACTGTTAGCTTGAAAAAGGCAACACTTTTGTAACTTTTCTCTGCCAACTGTCTTTAGACTTATCGAGCAACACTCCGTTGCGTGACAAGCCATACGAAAAGACGGCTGTGAAGCCGTCCTCTCACCAGACTACACTGTCCGGCATCCCTCGAGTTTCAATTTGCTATGTACAGTTGAACTCGAGAAAGTCTTCCAAACTAGTGAGATGTGAAATCTAAGCCAAGCACGACTTTTTACGGCAGTTTGCGGAGAAAATTGAAAGCCTCAGAGCTCTGGGCTTGCAAAGTGTCACACCCACTGGTTTCTTTTCGTCACGCATTTATTCATTACAGGAAGTGAGGTTCATCAAGCAAGCGTTATTTGCGGTGTTGATGTGTCACGCTGCGGGAAGGGGCGACATTGATGCTATGGAAGAGCTGCGTCAGCAGGTAACTATCTGCAGTTGGCGAGAACCTAAGTCGGGAACAGATAATTTCCTTTGTGACCTGGCCTTTAATGGAAGCACTCAGCCTGAGAGGCTTGAATTAGGAACGAAATATTGGCTTTGAAAAAGTGTCGTTTGCCTTAGAGCCGCCCTTGCAATCTAATTGTTTCTCTGACATAACATATTATTTGTTTCGTGTTTTGTTTACAGGGTGGTTTATTAAGCGTTGCNTCACACCCACTGGTTTCTTTTCGTCACGCATTTATTCATTACAGGAAGTGAGGTTCATCAAGCAAGCGTTATTTCCGGTGTTGATGTGTCACGCTGCGGGAAGGGGCGACATTGATGCTATGGAAGAGCTGCGTCAGCAGGTAACTATCTGCAGTTGGCGAGAACCTAAGTCGGGAACAGATACTTTCCTTTGTGACGTGGCCTTTAATGAAAGCACTCATCCTGAGAGGCTTGAATTAGGAACGAAATATTGGCTTTGAAAAAGTGTCGTTTGCCTTAGAGCCGCCCTTGCAATCTAATTGTTTCTCTGACATAACATATTATTTGTTTCGTGTTTTGTTTACAGGGTGGTTTATTAAGCGTTGCCACCAGTCACGACGGTCGCACCCCAATTCATGTAGCATGTCTGGAGGGTCAGCTGCAAGTCATTCGGTACCTTCTGGAGAAAGGCGCCTCACCGCACGTTTTCGATCATCACGGACAAACCCCTTTGCACGATGCTATTCGTAGTGCTAATGAGGAGGCCATTTTACTTCTCAGGGAGTTTGGGGCTCATTTAGGGCCCACCACAGTGAATACGGCCCTTCAAATATGCTCCCTTGCCGCTGATGACAAGGTGGATAGATTGCGGGCCTGGCACTTAGCCGGGGTTGATTTTAATGTTGGTGACTACGACAGGAGAACGGCTTTGCATGTGGTGAGTTTGTTCAATCATTCCTCTCTAACTGAGGTAAAAGAGCTCAGAGCTAATAAAAGGAAACAATTTGCCTCTCGTGTTGACAATTGGTTTGTTTGATGGCTGACCGCTTGCGATTTTGAGTTTAATATAGGACGTTGTGCACGGTTATTTACTGACATGTTTTTCGCCTTTTTTCATTGCTTTTAGGCTGTTTGTCGAAATAATGTGAACACAGTTAAGTTTCTGTTGGAGTGCGGTGTTGATATGAACTTGCGCGACCTGTACGGCTTTACACCACTGAAAAACGCCGAGCTTTTTGAAAACAGAGGAATGATGGAACTACTCCAGTCGGCGGCACAAAAGACGACTGAAGAAGCTGACAAGTCAAGAGGAGCGACAAAGCTCGTGAGGTTCACCAGTTTTCATTCCGTGTCATAAGAGATCCGGGCTTGAATTGGTTTTTACTTCATCTACTCGGAATTCACTGTGATTGGTCTATGAGTCGCGACAGCAGAATAAAAGTAATTTCTACTATTTATATTGAATAAGTTTTTCTTAAATATGAATTCAAATGAAAAAGACTCTCTTGCTACTTTTGTTGGGGTATTTTATAATTGTTTAGTTTATTTATATTGAATATTGATTTTCGGTTCTACAAGTTATCTTGTTGTAGAGTTTCAACAGTTTTATATCTATCGATGATGAAAAGAGATGTTAGACTCAGAGAAGGCGAGATAAAGGTGAAAATTATTGATTTAAAATAAAAATCTCCGTACGACATTTTTTGTTTGTGTTTTTACACGGCTAAAAGTGATTTTGCCTTTTTTAAAAAATGTAATTTGGTTCTCGTAGTATATTGCATCGCTCTTTGACTTCGTATTCCCAGATGAAAAATTACCACCAAGAGTGACTAGCATCTAATTTCTCCTGACAACCTACCCCTGCTACCACAAATCAGTTTACTACCAAAGTCTACCATGCTTATATCATTTTTAAGTATACGATAGTTCTATACTTTCCTTTTTTTTTGTAACATCGCAGTTGAGTCCAGTTCAGGTTTCGCTGTTTTGTCTTTGTTTCATTCAACTACTGCACTTTGTATCTTCTTAAAGCTTTGTCTCATTTTCACTCATGCGCAAGGGGATCAATTCTAAATAAAACCCGGTAATACGCGAAAGAAATGAAAGAAAGGTACAATCTTGGTCTTATCTTATTGTGAGATGTGCTAACTCAGTGTTCGTTTCGGTGAAGGCAAAAGACAAAACCTTTCTTTATAAACTCCTGCAATTCTTACTGGTGTACTGTGTACGATAAACATAGACCTGCTCAGAGGCGGATCCAGGAATTTTTGATTGGGGGGGTTCAAACTTTGGTTCAGAAAGGATTGTTGGGCTCTTTTGAGGCAAATAACTTCTCCTCCCCCCCCACCCCCTCCCACCAGTCGCGGTTGCACGATGTAATTCCTTGGCTGCTTACTGTTTACTTGGATTCATGAAAAGAACCAGCCAGTTAAAAAGTGATATACGATCCTGTCGATGTAAGAATTTCAGTCTCAACGTTGTAAACGTCAGGTCTGATGGGGGGTCCGGACCCCCCACACCCTCCCCCTGGATCCGCCACTGCTGCTATCGTCATAAGATATCTTGTGTGGCTATGGACCATTGTGTTGAAACAATTGCTGTCTCGCAAAGATTTGAACCGTTCATAACAACAAAATCAGGGAAAAGGAAAATTCGAGACTTTTCGAACACAAAGCTTATTCGATTACGGGTATCCTGTTGACTTATCACTCTGTCTTGAGCTTTTACCAAAAAAATCAGCACTTTCAAAACACCGTGACTTACTAGCTTGTGGGGATGTTTTGCTTGTGATACAGTTCTGACGGCTTGAAAGCATGACATCAAGTCATCGCAGCGTACGCACTTGCGGAGGCATTTGACCACTGTGTTTATGCATAGGCGCCCCAAGCTCACGTCCAGTGGAAAAACGAAAGATTATTTCTTGAAAGCGTCACGCGTTGTTTGACGCAGTGTTAAGTTACGCGTGGAACCGTTGAGAATTTGAATGCGTTGTAAAGAATACTATGGGCAACGAAATATGGTCTATTTAAAACACTAAATATTCCGATATATGAACATTTTACAGGTAAGATTGATGAAACTGACTCACTTCTTGTGTGTCCGTTGTGTTTTTTGGCGATTTCCGCCATTTTGGGCTTGCTTCGCCACCAGTTTTTTTCTGTTATTAGACGAAGTTGGGGAATATTAGAATGTGTCGAAATCGATGACCCAAAAACGAAGAACTAAGACCTAAGACCGACTGTTTTAAAACGAAAACCCCGTGGTCTAAAACGAAGACCCTGTGGTCTAAAACGAAGACCCGCTGGTCTAAACGAAGACGTAGTTACTAAAACCCACAACGACCCACAACGACCCACAATGATCTTCAAACGACCGAGAACAATCTCAAAACGACCCCTAACGATCCCACAACAAAAGAAACCCCGCAAGAAAAAAATATCAAAAACTTAACTTTTGAATTTTTTTCAAAAATTGAAAAGCATACTGAAGAGCAAACATAACGACTCACAACTACCTAGAATACCTTTGATGGTCCGGTAGCACATTCATAAGGTTGTCAAAAATAGGAAAAAATAAATGAGCAAATGCAGCTTTTCACGAGAAAGAATCTCCATTCAGAGAGACATTTGTAAGTCCGATCAATGTCTCTTCGGCCGGCCGTGGAATAAAGATATGTATAAGTCACATGCAGAAAAGTTTCATCAGCTTTGCTCTCCGTAAACATCCATCTACATTCGTGCCGCTAAGTGCTATACTTCCTTGCCGATTTCTTCGCTAGCGAAGCGAACTGGGATTGCAGTGTTATGACAATGACCATCAAGACGACAGAGATCTCATGTATATATCTACCACGAGTTCCATTGTACGTAACTGTTTCCCTTTACAAGCAGAGACCTCATGTATATCAAAGGTAGTATTCCAAACTCCTGCTCTAATTTAGACGCTTTCTTGGCTGATGCTCTTTCCATTATCAAAGAAGCTTAACTCCTGTCACATATTCAATTAATTTATTAAGTATTCATTTGTTAATTAATTTATATGTGTATATTCATTTTTAGTTTTTATTGTACATAGATTATCTTCTAGTATAGTCTTCACTGCTTTAGGAGTATTCGATTAAAGATTAAAGTAAATACCCACCACGAGTCCCCTCAGTGTACGTAATTGAATGGCACGTTGATGTTATTTAATAGCGTATTGAATAATTAAACGTGTTTTACGTAGTTTGGCACTCATGGTGAGACCTTTTCAATCAAGACTGATATCAGGCTCTCTACATTTCATAACACGAAATAAAAGCAAAGAACACCACATAGTAATCCTTTAAACACGAAGGCGCGCTATAAAAGGAGCCTTATGTCCCACTGGACCATTTGTCAACAACCGTCGTGTGATGTAGAACTCTTAGAGTCAAGTCAGCTTGAGCTACAGCTACTCCAAAGCAGTGAACAGCGGGCGCATTCCTCAAAATTGTTTTATGTCTTCATCACAATACAAGAATTTTTGAGATTTGTATTTCCTTTCTCCAATGGAAACTGTCTTTATTTGTGGCGGTAAATTTGAGATCGAAGTAGGTGGTTCGCACGTCACCTCACGGCCACCATGCTGGTAGAAGTAAACAATAGATACCCCATTAGCTCTTTTTGTTCGTCTACCAGCATTTGAATTTGACCTGCACACGTCAACGGTGAGTGACAAATGAGCCCAGGTCTTCCCAGGGAAGACTTCCTTATATAGCGCGCCTTCGTGTTTAATTTGCTCCATGAATTAACATATTCAAACATGATCTTACTGAATTAATAAAGGTATTCCACCTCTGAAAATCGATAGAAAACGATGCACAATTCTGAATGTTTCATTATTGAAGAGAAAAAGCTTAATGTTACTTCTAAAACAGGTGAAGTTCACGGACTTCGACTCTGAACATTAAGGCATAAGTGTCTCTTTTGGTTGCCATCAATATCAATCAATACTAACAACTTAAAAACAATAACCTAACATGTCTCTAAATGTAGTTCGTTATGGAAGAAAAAAAGCTTAATGTTATTACCAGAAAAGGTGAGGTTCACTGACTTCGACTCTGAACATTAAGGCACAAGTGGGTTCTGTCCTCGTGTACCGGTTCACAAGAACCGTTACAAAAGACCGAACAATGCACAACATTGTGTCGGTTTTCTGTTGGTAATCTGTCGGTTTACCATTTCGAAATTATCATCGCTCTTCTTCATTTTTACCCCATGCTGATAAAATAGCCCATTTGCGAATTACCCTTGACCTCATTTTCAAAACGAGTCCTCGTGATAAGTTTCCATTCACATGCAAATTAAATTCATTTTCATAAGAATGGTTGAGCACGAGGACTCGTTTTGAAAATGAGGTCAAGGGTAATTCGCAAATGGGCTATTGAGGTACTATCTCTCACACAGGTAAGGATATTATAATCAGTAACTCCATTTTCATCTTCTGATCTTCCGTGAGTACGCTAGAGGTCATGTCAGCATATTTTAAAAACCACAAAGAAAAGAATACAGCGAGCATGACTTTCCAACTGTAAAAGCGTACTGTAGATGCGTCTATTTTTCTTTTGCGTAACCTTCCGAAAAAATCATCCGCCCTCTAAAAGAATCTACGCCCTATGCCTCAGTAAAGGAAGGGAATCGTGATGAGTTCCCGTTCTCGCTGCCGAGTCGCTCTACAAAGCTTGTTTCCCCCGTTGTTATTGTGCCGTCCGCGAAAGTCCAGTTTCCCAGTTCGCACGTCGAAAACTATTTAAAAAACCAAAAAGAATACAGCGAGCATGAATTCTAACCGTAAAAGCGAGCATAGCTTTCTAACCGTTAAATATATATATTTTCTCAAATTATTTATTCATTTATCATATTATAGTTTCTAATTATATTAGTTATTATACACGTACATTTTTGTAACCAGCATCTTTTTGCTCATCAATGTTTCGCGTTTAAATAAAGTTATACTTATACTAAAGCGAGCATGACTTTCTAACCGTAAAAGCGAGTATGACTTTCTAACTTTAAGATTTCCAATAGTGTAAAATATGGTATAGGACTTTCGCTTCTGCTGACAATGCTGCGGATACAGTTGTTTTGACTTATTTTGATTTTATTTAACCTGGTTTGGTATGCAGTTCCCCAGCATATCAACCCATATGATAAAGGCTGATAGTTTCGAAAGAAACTTAGTATATACTAAAACAGTGAGATAATATGCACCACCTAAAATTGATTTGAGTGATTTCTTCGCTTGTCACGGATGCAAACCGGGACGCCATTTTTTCCCGAGTTGCTCGGAGGTAAATAGCAAAGGATATTCGGAGTTTGACTAGCCAATCAGA